AGCAGTCCCAGGGGGACAGGGTATGGCCTTGGAGTGGGAAAAGGACTCTAGGAGGGAGTGCAAGGGCAGCACAAGGCTGCCTGTGCCTCGAGCTGGAGGCACAGTTCCATTTAATGGTATTTCTAAGGGGAAGAAGTAGATATTGATCTGCCCGTGACTCTCCACATAACCAGCTGATAGTCTGCTCACTCTGACAAGCATTTGATCCTGGTAAAAAAGCCACCAGGTCAGTGATGCTGCTATGCTTTGAGATCTGTTTTTGTCCTTATCCTCCCCCCATCAGTCATGTAACAGGCAGGCATTTCATGCTACTATATGAAGTTTAGCCAGAGATCATAAACCCTAAAGTGTCATTACCTGCCACTCCCACGATTTCTGCCTGGTGTCACCACTGCCAGCCACAGCTGTGCTGCTCTATCCTGACACAGTTTGTTTGTTTTGGTTTTTTTTCCTGAGCTTTCTTGTTTTGCAATACTTGGATTGAGTATTAATTTCAATATCTCTGTAATGTATTTTGTCCAAAATCGGTGCTGTGTGCACTTACCTGCATTGCAACACAGGGTTTAGAAATTATAGAGCCCTCCGTGTACAGGTTGTACACGAGCCTTTGTTCACAGAAGCACATGAGCACTCACCACCTACACACCACAGCAAAGAACAAAATGAAACACGCAAGCACTATGCTGAGAGTGTCCTTTGGTTAATTCCAAAACAACTACAGCTCCTTTATTATGCATAAGCACTTACAGAAAAAAATAAATCAGACCAGTGTAAATTAGAGTAGCAGAAGGAGGGGGGGTTGCAGGCAGAGCAAACAGATTTTTTTAAGTTTGTCAAACCTAGCAGTTGCCTCTGCTTTCAGTGGGGGTCAGAGAAGATGAGGTCCCTTCCAACTAAAATCTTTCTGTGGTTCTAAGAGGTTCCAAGAAATTGTAGCACACAGCATAGTAAGATAAAAGGAAGATAAGAGAATGACGACATAAGAATGGCACATGGATGAAATGAAAGAAAAGATTAGTCTCTTTAAGATAATACAGAGTCTTGATTTATTTCAAATTCTGCCAACCAAGTGGATTGCTGCCCTTCAGGCAAAATTAATGGAGCCAAGTGCTACAGTTTTTGTTTCCATAAAATACCACAGAATATAAAGATGTTTAATAATGGAAATAGTTAAACTAAATGCAGCTGATATAATATCAGGGAAACTCACAGTGCAAAATAGCACTTTATGTCATAATAGTTTTGGCAAAAAAAAAAAAAAAGTCTTGAATTAAGCAGGAGTAAAAAGAAAAAAAAAATATTTAAATTCCAAATGCACCCTGAATGTCAGATCCAGGGTATGGCCAAAGGCTGGAGTCTCTGAGCCACTGTCGAATAAGAGCAGCTATTAAAATGTCTCCCAGAAGAAATGCCCAGTTTGATTTCTTCTGCTCTTGAGCCCCAAAGTTCACCAGCCCAATCTGAATAAGGTTTGCAAAGGTGTTGACTTTCAGGCATCCGACTGCTTCAGCTCCTGACTGGAAACCCTGACTCCCTAAGCAACACATTCAAGTTTAATCCCACTAGTTGGTCCTGCCAAAAACAGAGATAAATGTAATTTACACCCCCAACAGCAGAAAGGTGCTTCTCTCCTTAAGAGAGTGGGATTGGTTTTCTCCCCTAGGAAGATGCTAGTTAGAAGGAGAGATGTATTTTCTAATCCACATTCTGCCTCTCATCTACATCCCAGTTCTTAAGGATTTGTTATATAGAGCAAAAGAGTGCAAGTAGGAGATTCCAGAAGGGTGACACTCAGGGTGTATGGCAGCCTGCTGGCAAGGCCACTCCCATGGACAATGGGAGAAAGAATTGTGACTAAAGCAAGTGATCAACCAGACTGAGGACTGAAATCAGGTCTGTCAACGCCAGTGTGGGTGCCTTAATTGCCAGGTTACTGGATATTTAGACTTCTCCAAAATGACATCACAGCTCAGAATTACTGCTGAGTCCTTCTGTTGGAGTAAGGACTGTTGCATTTAGATATTCTCAGATGGGGGATCTTTTGTCTCTGCCTGGATAGAGGTATATATCCATGTTATTAGGGCTTAAAACAGTGAGCCTGATAGATTCAGGCTGCAGTAGACCACCTCTACTTAATCTTCATGGGCAAACTAGACACTTTTTCTAACTCTAGCATACATGGAGTTTGCTGGATTTGTTTGTGCATTTGCAAACCATTGCTACAGTAAAAGCATTAAATTTGAATCCTCTGGGAAGTGCCATAGCTACTGTGTGTTTGTTACAGTGTTTGGGATTTCTGAGCATCCTGCTGTCTGCTTAGGACTGAATGGTGAGACCAGAAACACTTGACAAATGTTCAATATGTCCTTAAATTCTGCCCCAAAATGTTGTATCCTTGGGAGCCTAAAGACCTGATCACTCTGCCTTAAGGGTTAAGTCCTGTTGGAGGTTGCAGCAATATTGTAGCAATATTACAGCTACAATTAAATCATGGACTATCAATTCAAAAAGTAGACCATCAACTAAAAAAATAAATTCATGGCAGTGAGAGTCACAACAGCGCATTTGATGGAGTTTAAGTTTATTGTGTGGCCAAGAATATAATCTTCTGGTCTAATATGGCTAATGTTAAGGTGAATTTAAGCAGCTCTCTAGTATATGGCTCAGTTGAGTGCAACCTATCTGAACAAAGCATTTTTCAGTGTTAGAATTCATATAGTTCATTGCTTGGTGAGAAATTAATCTTAACAGGGGTGTCTCAGCATCAGTGCCATCTTGCAACCATGTACCATGAACAGATTACATTGCTCAACTGCTGTAAATCTGCTCAGTGGATATTAGTGAAGATAATAATGACTGCCAAGTGAGCCAATATTGTCTTTTCTCAATGTTACCCTAAGCATGGCCAGTAGCAGATGCTTAAGGAAGCAGAGCATAAGAGACAGGCAGAGTGTTGCTCTCCTTGATATTCAACTTCTGTCTTCCAGTGTTACTCACGTGTCATAAATATATTATCAGGAAACAGCACATGGCACTAAGGTTGATGGCCTTAAATCAACACCAAATAGTATCTTCAACAATATATTGTCCCTGATAGGTACCACCAATAGCATTAAGTGAAATTCAGACAAAAGAATATGCCTCAGATGAGTTAATTGCAAATACTAATCTTACACTCAGCGCTCGTGGGCCCTCAATATCTTGTTTTGCTCTCGCAGGCATGTGGGTCTACAGAAGTGAGTAAGTTCATCAAAAGAAGTTCCATGATTTCTGAGTGTGGTGTTTCTCCTACTGCTACCACTATTTTTCTAGTTTTAAATTTCAAATCATGTTCCAGGTCATATCATTCAGAGACTCCAGAGTCAGTCTTAGGCAGGTGGAAATAAAGTAAAAATCTCAGGATGGGTCCTGGGACCTTCCTGGAGCTGGAAGACAAGCACAAACCAGATTGATCCTTCCTTCTTTGTGCTGCTGTATCTGCTGCAGTGTTATTTAGGGATAGTTTCCAAGCTCTGGCTGGAGGCACTGGCAGAGTAACCACTTCACAGCAGTGATAGGAATCACTTCAATATAAAATTTGCTTTATCATGATGTGGTTTCCTAAGTAGGATTTGTATTTTTCCATGCTTTAATGTGTGTTACATCCTGGTATCTTCAGCAGGGATCTTGTTCCCATTCATCTGTTGAAGCTGTAACTTGCCATGAGTCTGAGGCTGTTCTTGTGGGCTTTTTGTGTTATGGCAGCCTGAAAACCTTGATGAAGAACAGCAAAACTTTGTTCAGTAGGTAACCACATCACCTCTTGACAGTGCAGCTATGAAAGAAGATGTATTTTTCCTCATCCATTCAAGGATTCACATTCAAAATAAAGAAAAGCTTACAGGATTCTCCATTGCCATGCCTGGTGGCTTTTCTAAACACCTTCTCCATCTCCACTGTCTGAAAAGTCAAAGGCACATCACAAATTGATCCAAGAGTCATTTTAACAACTCCATTTGCTGTTGATGGCCAGCTCTCCTTCATCCATCTATGTGTCTTCGTGTTTGAAATCCTTCCCCGCCCTACTTTCTGTTGCCTCTCCCCCCCCCCTTCTTTAATTACCTTTCTTTTTTTGGCTCTTTATGCACTTGCTTTTGCCATGTTGACAGCTACCTTTCCAAGTTCAGAGAAATTTCAGAGAGGTGTAACCAGGAGCCTTAAGAAAATGACACTCCTTGTGAATCTGTGTCAAGAGAAAGCCACATGTTTTTGGGTAGCTGGGTTACCCCATGGCAGTGTCAGAGGGTTGCTAAACTCCCAACAACTGTTGGGTTTGAGGGGACTTTTGTGTCCATAAATGAACAAAGGCAGAGTTCTTGAAGACCAGCCACTGCCCTTTGGGGTCACACGACAGATGCAGCAATCACAGAGAGCTTGGAGGTGGCCTCAAGTGGGAGCACCCTACCAGTCTGGCAGCTTATCTGGGCTGCTGTGCTCTCCATCCCATGGCCACTACATGGGAAAATGTTGGAAGAGTCTGTACCTTCCAGCATTGCTCTGGGTATCCAATTCCTAATCCCACAGTAAACTCTGCAAGGGATACGTCTTTAACTTTCTCCCCACCACAACCAGCACCAGCAGCTCCTTGTACCAGCACATATGACTGAAACCAAAATAAATGTAATACTTTTTGAAGATATCTCTAGGGTGGAAAGCATGGGGCAATTAGCAACAGCAATTAATTCAGAGCTGTGGAGAAGTAAAATACAACATAACTGATCACAAAACCACAACTCTCTGAGCTATTCCAGCAGACAGTTTGCACAGGCAGCAGCATTGCATGAGCAAGTTGGTGGCCACCAGTCACAATGTACCGTGTCTGCACTCAAAGGTCTCACCCAGTAACTATTCCTGGGATCAAATGAACCAGCAGGAGTGTTTTTCAGCCCACTTTTCACTCAATGCAGGCTACAAAAAATAAGGGATCCCAATTTTCTGCTTCTCTTTCTCCTCTTTTGCAGTTGTCTCCTAATGTTCTGGAATGCCCTGCTGCAGACATCCACAGGAGACTTCTCAGCACACACAGTCTCGCAGGTCACCCTGCCAGCAATGACATGGAGGTAACTTATCACTATGAGATGGATCATCATCTTCATGGCTTGATTTCACCCATTCCTCTCATCAGGTAAAGGCAGGAATAACTTTGTCCCGGGGCTTGCAGTACTGCAACCCGTTCGTGAGAACCTGGTCACTGTGGGGATGGAGAGAGACCCCAGGCAACAGAACAGTGCCCTGTTCTCACTTCTGCATTTTCCTTTGATAAAGAGGGCCCTCAACACTGGTGGCTTCAGGCTTCTGATCTGCCCCTGTCATGCCAAATTGCAATGAATATAATGCAAAATTATCAATCAAAGGTAAAATAAACACCAACAAACTGCAAACTTTTGAAACAGCGATTGATTATGTGTCTGAGGAACAGATTGTTTCACAGATGAAAGCATGAAATGGCTTTTTTTTTTTTAAAGAGAGTAAACATGAGAAATACGTTAAATACTTTGAACCTACAAAATCAGAAATGCTAGGCTCAGGAGAAATTCTTTGGAGCAAATACCATTGAGGCAGGTTGTTCTGCTTATAGTAAAGGATATTATTAAACTGCTTAATAAAACAAAATCGTGAAGTAATCATTGTGAGCAATAACAAACTTGTGTAGCTTGTATAGTTACACAGATGGAGAAATTATTGCCCTTCTTATGTGAGCTAGATGTGATTGTGTGTCATCAGTCCTTGAGAACAAATCATAAAGCTTATGCAAGAAAAGCATAACTAAAACAGAAATAGAAGGAAGAACTGACCATGAATCCAAAGGTACCAAAATTTGGGGTATATTATGTAGTTACTAAGCAAAAGAAGTAGGAATATTTAAACATTTTGATATGGAAAACTAATAAATAAAATAAAGAGTCAAAGTGAAGCATGAAATGAGCTGACATGAAAGGAAATAGCTACAAGTAATGCTGACATGTGGATACGTGGTAATGAAAATGCACTGAAAAAGTGAAGAAACATCATCAACACAAATAAATAATGACTACCAGTTAGAATTAATACTAAAAGAGCCTATAACCTAAACTAACAGAAATGAGAAGAAATTTCATTTATGTACAAAAGTGTAGTTTTGTGCTTGGGAACAAATGACACCACTTTGTGCTAGAACCTCGATAGCTTGACATGACAGAGGAGGAAACTAAAATATACTCATCAAATTCACACTTCTTATGAACTGCTGACATAAGGTTTATGAGAAAAACAAATATAGGCCTAAGCTGCCATCAAGAGATCTGTTTTCAGTAGAGGTATGAAAATATTTTTGCTGTGTAAGATCTCAGTGAAACTTCATCTGGAATATTGTATAAAATTATGAATTAAATCTGAAAAACATGCAAAGATGGGGTTCTGGAATGGATAAGAAGAGATTCTTTACAGAAGAGATTCTTGACCGTGGCTTTTCTGGCCTGGTAAAATGAAAGCTGAAACGGGATAAGGTTGCTCTCTACAAATGTATCACTGCAGGAATGGTTTGTTGGCTGAAAAGGCAAGTGCTGGCAGAGAAACAAAGGTGTATATTGGCAATTGCATTTAGACTGAAAATTAGAGGACAATTAAAGGAAGGTTAGAAGAAGCAAAGTACAGCTGTGTTAAAAATCGAACACAGTCATTTTACTTCTGTGACCAAGTGCCTGGGAGAGCTGGGCACCAAGAGCCCATTAGGCTCCCTTTAATCCTCTGTCCCCAACAAGGCTACCTGTCATGACTTTTCCCAGCCAGTCTGCTGTTCCTAACTGAGCAAAACCTTTCACATCTTTGATATCTGCTTGCTTTCAACAAGTCTATCCTGTACAAAACTTTGTCCCTAACTAAGCTGTTTTATTTTAATCACATGACCCAGACTGCCACATGGTGTGGTGACCCAAGCCTCACATGATCAAGCTGTAACTAAACTTCCATCATTCCTCTAGAGGATCACTTCACCCTTCAGCACTCCTCACTCAGCCATTCCTAGCCACTGTTTCTATCATCCACAGGTTTATTGATATATTCAAGATACTAAATAATAATTAAATGTATTGATATGCCAAAAGGCAATTACATCAGAAAATTTCAATAAAAAAGAAGAGAGAAAATATCAAACATAAATACCACTAATATCAAGCTGACAGGACTTGGCACAGTAGCCAGTATAGTTAAGAGGTGTTTTAATTAGTTTTTTTCAAAATGAGGAGAACAGAATGAAGTTTCATAGGTAGATCTCACAACGGGTATTTTTGCTGCTTTTAAGTGACGTGGCAAGAATGCAAGAGGAGAACTAATGTTTGTGTGTAGTCATGCAGGAAAAGATAACAATCAGTCAACAGGAACCTTATAAATTTCAACAAAGGGAAATGTTCCTCCCTCCACTGGGGAGGAAAAACGCAATGCACTGGGACAGACTGGGGACCAGGCAGGTGGAAAGCAGCTTTGTGGGAAAGGCCTTGGGTCAGCACATTGACTGTGAGCCAGCAACGTGCCCTCGTGGAAAGAAGGCCGACAGCCTCCTGGACTGATTCAGGAAGAGCATTGCCAGCAGGTCAAGGGAGTTGATCCTTCCCCTCTACTCAGCGCTGATGAGACATTTCTGGGCTCCCAGTACAAGAAAGACTGGGACACACTGGAGTGAGTCCACTGAGGGGCCAAGTGACTGCAGTGTCTGCTCTGCAAGGGTGGGCTGAGAGTGCTGGGGCTGTTCGGCCTGGAGGAGAGAAGGCTCGGAGGGATCTCACCAGTGTGTGTAATACCTGGGCAGGAGAAAACAGAGCCAGACTTTTTTCAGTAGTGTCCAGCAATAGGACAAGAGGCTACAAAGAAAAATACAAGATTTCCATTTAAACAAAAGAAAAAAGCTTTTATTATTATTGTGAAGGAGGTCAAACACTGGCACAGGTTGCCCGGAGTAGTGTCTGTCCTTGGATGCTCAAAACCTGGTTGGACACAGCCCTGATGAACCTTCCATAGGTGGCTCTGCTTTGAGCCTGGAGGGTGGACTGGACAATCTCCATTCCAATATATGATTTAGTAATCTTTACTGAATATGCATTGTAATCCTAACACTTGCTCCCAAAAAACCTGAAGAATTAGCACATTAGAATGGAAAACATACAAAAGGTAGCAGATTGCATTCAACTGCAAACAATATATTTGTTACTCATCCCATCTCTATGCTGATATCAGTTAATTCATTAGTAAAGGTGAAAGGGTCACTCGACAAAAAAAACTGTATCAGCTCTTTGGAGAGCAAAATCACAAGTTTCCTCTCATGAGTACTCTGCTTTGAATTCAAAGATATCTTTAAATATACTAACTAGCTTTAATACACAGCTAAAAATAAGTTCCTGGACTTTTCCTAAACTGGTTTAACTAGTTTTGATCCGACCTTTTTCTTTGAACTGTAGTACCTCAAATTAGAAAACAAATAAGCTTTAACTGTATTGGTTACTGCTTATACAAAGGCTGTTTCTGAGCTTCTGTAAAACTGTATCTGTCACACCACGTCCTGTACAGCAGTAAGTCTGCAAATTCCAGCCTATATTACTGTGTCTGGAATGCACTGTAGCTTGGGGACAAGAGCTGTTAGTGCTCATTACACCACAAATGCATCCCTTATAAACACTTTCTTTCGATATGGTTGTTAAGCCCCAGCAGCACGAGCACAAATGAAATGTTAGGAGAGTCTAAGTTTGGTGAACAGAAAATGCCTGTGGCCTTTCTTGTGGCAGCACAGAAAGTGACATTTCCCTTGACTGATCTTTTAATTAGATGGGTTGCATTTAGCAAGAAATCGAAGTGAGCATCCATAAAGCCTCCACAAGATCGTGGTAAATACATGCCTTGGTTTATGCAGAACACTGCACCCTTCCTAATGTGTCCGTGGCTGACTGAAACGAGGAAACACAAGTATCATTTGCATAAAAACAGTTGTGTTTCTGAGGTATACACTATATATATAGGTATACAGTATATATATAGGTATACAGTGTATATATAGGTATACAGGGTATATATAGGTATACAGTGATGAAGTTATGCACAGAGAAACAAAGTTTCTGTACGAACACCTGGCTCCTGTAGCATGGCTGTAATTTCTAGTGATCCCTCATGATTTTGGCCTGGCACTTGTCCTCTCACACTTTCGCCAGAGACACTTGTTTCAATCTCCAAAGCACGGAGACTGGGTAACCTAGTCCAGGCAGGGGGTGCAAAATCAAACATTTCTATGAGTTGGTCAATAAAAGGCAGAAAGCTGTGAAAATGGTTTGCCTCGCTTAAAATTGGAGAGATGTAATGAAGCAATCCAGAAACCTCTGGAAGGTTCCTGTGAATGAAATAGCTTTCTAATATTGCTTAGAAACGTTCATCAGTTTAAAGATATGAACTGGATTTTTCTCTCTCCTTTTTATTATTTTTTTTTTTCCTGATAGCGAACATGTAGGTATTTGTTTTGTACTCTCATGGATAACAAACCAAGATTTAGCCCTGCAGGCACTTGCACTTGTTTACCTACAGATTTCTATAACTTTGTGTTGCACTACCTCTTTGTGCTGGGTAAGAGTTTCAAATACTTCTTTTTTTTCTTTTTTTTTTTTTTTTTTTTTTATATTAGCTAATAAAGACTATATTGTGGGTTTGGGATTTTTTTAATAATTTATTCAGTGTTCACAGGCTAGGCCACATTTGTGTTGATATCTTCCCTTTCCTGTGATGAAAAATTCACAATGCTACCTTGAATAACCAGTTTGGTAGGTTCTTTGAGAAGTAACCATATGTTACTACATTAAAATGCAAGTACATCATGACACTATGTCACTATGATGTTTTCCTGATGTTAATAATTTAGGAGGGATTAATTAATCGTGACTTTAAAAGTCCGGAAAAAAAAATCAGATCATTATCTCTCAAAGTATTCCCACGATTTCTGAGGCTTTTGAGATCCTAAAGGAGTTTTACAGCACTGTGAACTCCTGCTGTATCCCTGTGGTACTCTGCTTTATCAAGACATTTTGTCTTGGTGCACTATGAGACTGATCCAGACAGTGTCTGGATAAAAGCACATTGCAGCATGTTGGTGTTTTGAGCTCACTGAAAGAGCTGTAAATTGCACTGGTGCTCAACACAAACCAACGACAGTGTGCTCCGAACACCTGATATTTATTTTGTGCTCTGATGGCATCTGAAATAATTCTGTCATACTTTGCTGCGTTGCCATTAATTCAGTTTGTGGTAATGCACATATTTGATGTATGATGATGGCTTGGTGATCTTTCCATCAGAGGTATGGAGGGCATAGAATCCATAAAAAATTAAGAAAGTCTGGGACTTTTATGCTGTACTTTACCACTCAGATA